AGTATTTCATCTGCTGTATCTAAATATAATGAATACTTTTCACTGTCTTCTTATAAATTTTATTTAAAAGTTTCAATCTCACTTTTACTTCTGATACTGAGAAGTACTCTGTTCTCTGTATCTATTTAACATTCTGACTATCTATTTCTCTCTTTGAAACATTATTCATGATGTCACTGAGTAATGAAGAATTATATTCATAATAAGTATAGAAAGAAGATATCTTTAAGAGTACATTCTTTACATTATTATATATGAATTCAGCAGTTAGAAGATGTTTGAGTTAATTATTCTGATAATATAACTAGAATACTTGAAGATACTGTTCTAGTATCTGATTTTGATATTCAGTCTAATTATCTATCTGCAGATGAAATGCAGTACTGATAAGATATCTTATTATAAGATAGTAGTAAAAAGCTGATCAGTATTTACTGATAAAGAGAGATTCTTAATCTGTTATTAATAATTTCAGAGTACTGTGATTATGAATAATAATATTTAAAAACAGATCAGTTAATTCAGAGGCTTTAATCTTTTTATAATTAGAGATATATTTAGTCATCTTTATAAAATAATTAATAATGATTAAAATTGAGTTATATTCTTTGACTCTTGTCAACTTTGATAGATTAACTATGAAATTCATTGATAGATTCTGTTATAAGCTCTTTGAAACAGACAGTAATATTAACTTATCATATTACTTATACTATGAAATCTTTATTCTTTGATAGATATTATAAGTCTTAATATACTCTTTGACATTTGTCTGAAGCATATCTTAAATATATTTATATTTTAAAAGCTTCTTAGTCTTCTCTAACTCAAAGTGTCTCATATGAAGATTATTATGATGAATTCTTAATAACTTCTAATGCACTGCTCTGCTACAAGAGATGAAGACTGTCTCAGTGACTGAATGATTAATGCAGCCACCTGGTAGCGCCTTGGCATGGGAAACCAGGGCGTGTGGGTTCGAAACCCGCAGGGGATACATTAAATCCGGAACTCAAGCACCTCAGGTTTCTAATAAATACAGAGGTGTACAAATCACTTCAATAAAATTGTGATATGTTCCTGGGCTGGAAAGTTATTATCGCATGTATTTAATTGTCACTTCTTTGTATTTTCTATGTTCTTGTTATCTTGGCATGGTCTTAACACCTGTATTTCCTCCTGTATAATCAACACTTGATCTGTATTTAACATCACACAAGAACTCATCATAAGCTCCGCTTGCATATGAGTATAATGAAAGAATAATAATAATAATAATAATAATAAGAGATGAAGACTGAACTATTCAGTAGTAGAAGTACACATTCTTCTAGTTATCAGTGACTTGATTTCTTAGCAGTATCACTCTGCTCAGAGCCCGTCTCTTTCAAGTTCAAACTGAATTCTTTCTTTCTCAACTTCTGAATTCAAGCTGTAGTAGAGATGTTCTTCTTCTGTAACTTATTAATAAATTTCAAAAGTAGTTGAATTAAAGGATTATAGACTGTTTCATTCTTTATTAATTCAATGATAGTAAAATATAATATAAGAAGCTTATAATCTTCAGTGTTAATCTTCTACAGAGATCTGAGTTTTCTTTCATCTTCTATACTAAGTCATGTAGCTATCTTATCAGCACTGTACTCAAGCTTCAGAGAACTCTAACTCTCTGCAGTCAGCTTCTTCTGCAGTGATGATAGAGATTCTTTTATAGAATTCTTCTCTGTATCAATGATATTATAATCAGACTGTCTAGATAATATATCAGTGAGATTAAGCTGATCTGAACAGTATCAGATATAGAAATCATACTCTGAAAGCAGCTTCACTTATCTGACTTAACATTCTATCAAGCTCTTTATTATCAAGAAGTAATACAGATTTGTATAATCAGTGAGAACTTGCACTGAGTACTTACTACTCTGAAGATAATATTGTCAGATCTTAAAGAATTTGACAATTGCTAACATCTCTTAATTATAAGTATTATATCTTCTCTGTGTGAGTAATAACTTCTTGAAGAAGAAGATCACTAATCTTTATTCACAGTGTCTTATAGACTCTGTGAAAAAGTCTTCTCTCACAGGCATTTCATTATCTGTATTCTCAGAGATAATTATTCTCTAATTCTTTCAACATTGAAAGATCTCTGATATCAACTGTGAAAAGATTTCATAGATTTTATTCTCAGATGCATCAGTCTCACACTGACTGAGTAAGTCAGAGTTAAAGTGATTCAGTATTATAATATCTGTAAAAGCTTGTTTCAATTCTGTAAACATCTGCACAGCATCTTAGATGAGAATAAATAATCTTATTTTTCTGTTATTATTATTATTATTATTCTTCAATTATAGATGTATGCAGTCAGAGACTATGATATCTACCTGAGAATCTTTAGTTCTCAGAGTTTTTCCTATATCTATAGAGTCAACTATTATACATTTATTAATTTCAAATATGTAAAATCAGAAAATTCCAGCTCAGAATATAAAAACTGTTTACAAATTACAGTATTTTAACATCTTCTGATACTTTGAAATCATTTGAAAATATTATGACAAAAGAAAAGAGAACATAGTCTTAAAGATAGATACATTAAATAGATAGAGAAAAGAACAGAAGGAAACAAGTATAGTAAAGAGAGACTATAATAAAATAAAATTATTAAAAGATGATGTATAGCTGTTATAACAGACTATATCTAATCAATTTTCATCTCTTCATATTCAGATACTTCTGAATTCAGTCATTTTCTTGTAGCTGCTTTAGTTTCTGATAGAAAGTCTATTATGTATTTAGTTCCTATCTCAGTTGAGAATAAGAACCTTATATTTAATTGATTTAAATCATACTTCTTCTTTAATCTGACTCTGAGACTATTGTATAATGCACAATGTATTACAATATACTCAGAATTTTCATTCACATTGCAGAATGAGTACTCTGTTGAATCAAATCTATCATTAAATCTTTGTATATAGGATTTGAAATACCTATGTTCTAGTTTCAGCTGAATTATAGATGAGAATATTTTCTTTTTACATTTAATTAAATAAGATTTTCACTTTGATTTTGTCTCAAATCTTGAATAATGTATGCTCTTCTTTTGTTTCTATCAGCTTTCATTTCACTTGTTTAAACAAGATTCTTTTATCTTTCTCTTTATGAAAGATCAGAACACTGTTTTTTAAATAGATCTGCTTAATTCTGAACTCTTTTTTACAGCTGAATCAGTTAATTCATTGCCATGAATATTCATATGAGTAGAAACTCAATACAGATGAATTATCAGTTTTAATGTTCTTCTCTTTTGAATTTTCAAAACAGAGTTTAAAATCAGTTCAAGATTCATTTAATCAATATGAATCTGAATATTTCTAAGTCTTTTTAAAGCAGCTTGACTATTAGAGAATATTCATATCTCTTTCAAATTATTTCCTCTTTTATAAGATTTTATTTCAATGAGTTTGAAAGCTTTCACTATTGCAAATAGTTTAGTATCAAAGACTTCAGATTCACAGTCTAAATTCCAGAAATCTGAGATAAAATTAATATTATCTTCAGTATAAGCAATGCCTGTGCCTAATCTATTCAAATTCTCATTTTTTAAGTCATCTGAGTAAATCAGAATAGAGTCTTTTATATTAATTATAGAGATCTTCTTCAAATGCTGTTCATATTCTCTCTCTTTAGATAATTCACTTATTTGTAAGTTTATAAGAGATTTCAGCTTTTCTCTTCAGAGAGATATCTTCTTATGATTAATTTTCTCAACATTTAATGAAGAAAATTGATTTTTAATAAGTGAACATAGTCTATACAGTTGAGAGAGTATTTTCTTTAAAGTATTATTCTTATTTCAATCAAGAAATCTATTTCAATTCAGTTCATTTCCTGAGTTAACTGATGAAAATGAAGAAGAGACTCTTTCTCTGATTATATAATTTGAGCTCATCTTCATGACTCTCAGAGTATAGTTTATACAGACCTTTTCAAATTGAATAGCAGAAGGTGAAATTGAAGCTTCAATTTTCATTGCTTTAATAGAAGATGACTTAAATACTTTCAGAATTCTTCTCAAAGCTCTGTTTTATAGACTTTGAAAGAGTTCAGTGAAGTTTTCTTGATTATTTCATCAAACTTAAACCTTATAATTAGCTACTGAGATAATACAGACTATGTATAACTGTCTCATAGTCTGAAAGAATAGATCTCTCTCAGTTTTTAATAGTCTGATTATACTATTCAGTAGTCTCTCTGTCTTGATGATTCTTTGTTGAATATGATATTTAAAATTCAACTTGGAGTTTAATCATACTTCTAGTTATTTAACATTCAAACTGAGTTTAATCTCTTTATTCAAAAGAGTTAGACTTAGTTCTTTCTCATTAAATCAGGGAAAAAAGTGAATTAGCTCAGTTTTATTCATATTAAATTGAATTAGATTGATATCTGCTCTAACAAAGATTTTCTTTACTGCTTTTTCAATTACTTCTAAATTCTCTTTGATTGTCTTTGAACTGTAGAGTAGATCAATATCATCTACATAACTTAAAGATCTCACTATTTTCATCTCTCTATTCTTGAATAGATATGCAGTTATTATTATTATTATTATTATTATTCTTCCATTATACTCATATGCAAGCGGAGCTTATGATGAGTCCTTGCATGATGTTAAACACAGGCCAAGTGTTGATTATACAGGAGGAAATACAGGTGTTGAGACCACGCCAAGATAACAAGAACATAGGAAATACAAAGGAGTGACAATTAGATACATGCGATAATAACTTCCCAGCCCGGGAACATAGAGTGATTTTATTGGAGTGATTTGTACACCTCTGTATTTATTAGAAACCTGAGGTGCTTGAGTTCCGGATTTAATGTATCCCCTGCGGGTTTCGAACCCACACACCTTGGTTTCCCACGCCAAGGCGCTACCAGGTGGCCGCATTAACCATTCGGCCACCGGGGCATAAAATAAAAAGTAGACATGGTTCCAATGAGGGTCGAACTCGCGACCTTGGCGTTATTAGCATCACGCTCTAATCAACTGAGCTATAGGACCGATTTTACATATAGATATGCAGTGTATATTGCAAATAAAACAGATAAGACTGAAGATTCTTATGATACTTCTATTTTTATCTCAGTTTTATCTTGTTTTCTTTCATCAAAGAATAGTTATATAATTCTTTTAGATATGAAACAATTGACTCATTTTATTAGAGAAAGTGACAGTTTTAACATCTTCAAAGTTTGAATCATCTTAGACTTTGAAACATGATCAAATGCATCTTTTATATCAATAAAAACTGCAGTTAAGACCAGGTCTTCATACTTTGCTACTTGAATATCATGAATAACTGAGAGAACAGTATTAATTGCAGAACATTGTTTTCTACCTCTCATTTATTCATTAAATAGAAGAGAATCACTAATAGAGCTTATAAAAGATAATCTAGTATCTATTATCTTTTCTAGAATTTTTCTCAAACAGTTCAACAGAGATATTACTCTATATAACTTAGAAATTGAAGTCTTTTTATTAGGTTTTGCAAGGATTACTTCAGTAGCTTCTCTCCAGCATTCAGAATAATAATCATTTTTTAAGAGATTGAAAAAGAGCTCAAAATATTCATTCTTCAAGTAGGAATATGTGTTTTGAATAATTAAGTGATTAATTGAATCAGACCCTGCAGCAGTTTTAATTGAACTTGAGAATATTACTGACTCTAGTTCATCATATGTAAGCTCAGATCATTCCCAGTTATTTTCATCAATATATTCATGAAATGACATATTCTCCTCTTCTAAATGTGATGAGTTTTGAAAGAGAATTCTCATAAAAGCTTGACATTTTTTCTCAAAAGAGTTTGCTGTATATAATTCATTCTGAAATTCATATTCTAAGATTGAAAGCTTTGCTACACTTCTTGTTTTAATATAGTTAAAGGCTTTGAAAACTTCGTTTTCTTATACTTCTTCAAGAAATTTGTTTCAGCAATCTGTTTTAGCTTTTTTAATATCTGAAAAATATTCATTTCAAACAGCTTTGAACTCTTTGTAACATGGCGGAACCGAAGCAGTGACTAGTCAGCAGTGTCATGTAGAGATAGTTGTTTGAGAAGTTATATAAGTAAGCTTAACTATCTTGCTTGAATAACGAGCTTGTAGGCTACAGAGTTATTGCAAGAATATCACAGATATAATACTTAGTATACTAAGAGAATTGTATAAGACACACAGTAACTCTTATATATATTTCAGTAGAAGAAAAAATAAATCACTGACTTCTTTAATAAGAAGTCAGCATCTAGCTATTCTATATAGATAATGAGTGAATACTCTTCTCTCATTTCATGAGTGAGAATAGTCAGAGTAATACCTCAGCAGCATCTCATTATTAAGAAAGAGTAATCTGCTGATCTTGTATAGAAGCAGAATTCTCATATTCATCAATCAGATCTTTCTATGATATATCTGAATAATATCATAGAGTGATTGAAAACTAGTTCAGATAGTCTGCAGAATGAATGAAATTATCTGCATGAAAGTGATAAGCTATGTGAAACTGTAACAGAATCTTGACATAGTTGAGAGTATGACAATGTTCTTCTCTTTAAGAGTATAGTCTCTATATTCTCAAGATTACTGAATTAGAAATTATCTTTATTATATAGCAATGATTGTCAACTGATTGACAGTGTATATACTGCATATAATACAAAGAAATAGATGAGTTTTTCTACTGACTGTATATATCTTTCTTTCTCATCTTCATTCAAATTAAATGTGTGATAAGTAAGTTTCTTATATATTAATTTAAAATGTGAAAATATAGTTAATAAGTGACTTACAGATCTTTCAATGTATTCTGTTCTATATATAGAATTCTCTACAAAAGTGATGTATTTTTAGAGACAATGTTAACAGTAGTGATAGAATTTTTTGAAAAGATCTTTCTCTTCTGTGAAATATTTTTCTTTCTTCTCTCTCAATTGTAATAGTGAGTGTATGAGAGTACCATTCTTGAAGAATAATCAAGAACTTATTCTGACATTTTCTAGTGAGTAAACATCTTCATGATGCAGCTGTGGTCTCTGTGACTGTTAAGAAAGCTCAGTTAAAGGCGGAGATGACAGCATTAATGAGCTATGAAAGTACTACTCTTATTATCACATCTTCTCTCTCTCTGACATCTCTGACAGCTGTGATGATAGCAGCTGTGCCTTGCAGTGAGATGTCATCTCTTCTACTAGCTAGTTTATCTGTATTCAGTTCTTTCTCTGTCTCTCTCACTACTGTTGTGACACTGCCTCTCTTCTCAATCAATATAATGATGTATAACTCTGTGTGATCATTCAGAGAGAACTCTGAAGAGAGCTTGATTTCAGAGACAGCAGCTCTGAGAAGCTTAATCTGTAGTTTCTCTTCTGTGACATGTCTGAGCTCTACTCAGAATACTGCTGAGTTGAGTCTGCAGAGTCTTATAGTTTCTTTATCTTCTCTCTATAAGAAGGCTTCAGTGCAGTCTCTGATCAGTATTATTATCTATCTACACTGCACTAAGCAGCTGAAGAAGAGAAAGATTTTATATATCTATCTCTTCTCTCACTCTCATTATTTCTGTTATATCTGTAACAATAACTTCTATCTCTCTGTAAGTATTATCTACTCTATAAGAAGATGTTGTGTCAGCTCTGACAAGAAGCTCAGATACTTAAGCAGTACAGAGTGAGAATCTTGAAGCTTCAAGTATTGATAGATTCTGTCAAGACTGAGAAGATCTTTCTTACTTATCTATAAAAGAAGATGAAAGCATAAATCTCTGAGATGAAAAACATCTCAGAATGACTGATCTTAAGAAGAGATCAGCTGATATCACTATTGAAAGTATCACAGAGATTAATTACTGATTGAAGAGAATCTCACTTCAGTTAAAGTAGATGATTGAGATGCTTTATAAGTTGATCTTATACTCTTCTATAGTATACTCTTCTGCAGTGCTGCAGTACTAACTTCTTAGCAGATAAAGATACTGATACTGATACTGAAGACTTTAACAGTGAAGAATAAGTTTGATGAGAATATAATTATTAGTGAGTAGACTCTGATCTCTCTTTTTACTTTTTCAGCAGACTGTAGCTCTATTAGAATAGCAGTGATCTGTAGATTAATAATATTAATCTTTATTAATTTCAAATATCTCTTTCTTTTCTTATTAACTGCTTCAGGAATTTTATACTTGTATAGTCTCATTAAACTTCTAAAAAACTCTTTGAGAGAAAATAGAAGAAGAGTGCTACAGAGCTTATAAAACACTGACTAATTATTGTAAGATTATCTTTAAAAAACTCTTTAAGAAAAATAAGAAGTCTTAAGCAGTATTTCTTACTCAACATCTCTGATATGTAATAAGATAATCTCTACTAGTTATTTCATAGATTGCAATCTCTTTCTTAACATTTTTCAAATACTTAAGCAGTTTCTATAAATTCTCTGATGATAAATAATCTTCTTATTTCACAAGATATTAAAGCTTACTGTAATATGTTTACTTATTCAATATTTTCTTCATAAGATATTCAGTATTACTCTCTATCTTGATATTATCTGACTGAGACAGCTCTGTCTCAGAGTGTTGCTTATAGAGCTTTAAATAGAAAATGTGAAAAATAGAATGAATTGATTTTAATTCTGTAAGTAATTTTAACTTATATATCTACTTACTTATTACTCTTATTACTGAGAAAGATTCTAGTCATTACTCACTGAGCTTCTTACACAGTCTCATTGTCATAATATTCTTTACTAAAAGTAGTACTTAATTCTCTATTAAGAACTTCATTGAAAGATGTTTTCAATTATAGTATTTTATCTATTACTTCTAAGTGCAGTGAATACTTTTTACTGTCTTTTCATAAATTTTATTTAAAAGTTTCAATCTCACTTTTACTTCTAATACTGAGAAATACTTCATTCTCTGTATCTGTTTAATATTCTGACTATCTATTTCTCTCTTTGAAACATTGTTCATAACATCACTGAGTAATAAAGAATTATATTCATAATAAGTATAGAAAGAAGATATCTTTAAGATTACATTCTTTATATTATTATATATAAATTCAGTGATCAGAAGATGTTTGAGTCAATTATTCTGATAATATAAATAGAATACTTAAAGATACTGTTTTAGTATCTGATTCTGATATTCAGTCTGATTATCTGTCTGTGAATAAAATACAGTACTGAGAAGACATTTTATTATAAGATGATAGTAAAAAGCTGATCAGTATTTACTGATGAAGAGAGATTCTTAATCTGTTATCAATGATTTCAGAGTACTGTGATCATGAATAATAATATCTAAAAATAGATCAGTCAATTCAGAGATTTTAATCTTTTTATAAGTAGAAATATATCTGATCATCTTCATGAAGTAATTAATAATAATTAAAATTAAGTTATATTCTTTGACTCTTGTTGACTTTAGCAGATCAACTATGAAATTTATTAATAGATTCTATTATAAGCTCTTTGAAATAGATAGTGATGTTAACTCACTGTATTACTTATATTACAGAATCTTTATTCTTTAGCAGATATTATAAGTTTTAATATACTCTTTGATATCTGTCTGAAGCTTGTCTTAAATATATTTATATTTTAGAAGCTTCTCAGTCTTCTCTAACTCAAAGTGTCTTATATGAGAATTATTATAATGAATTCTCAATAACTTCTGACACACTGCTCTGCTATAAGAGATGAAGACTGAATTATTCAGCAGTAGAAGTTTACATTCTTCTAGTTATCAGTAACTTGATTTCTTAGCAGTATTACTCTGCTCAGAGTCTGTCTCTTTCAAGTTTAAATCAGATTCTTTCTTCTTTAACTTCTGAATTCAAGCTGCAGTAGAGACATCTCTCTTCTATAACTTATTAATAAATTTCAAAAGTAGTCAGATTGAAAGATTGTAGACTATTTCATTCTTTATCAATTCAATAATTGTAAGATATAATATAAGAAGCTTATAATCTTCAGTATCAGTCTTCTGTAAGAATC